AATCACAAGCCACCTACACCAACCATGACGCCAGACAGCACAGAATCTATATCCCTATCTGTAATAGGCCCCAAATCTCGGGAAAAGGGCATACACACAAACACACGACCATACACAGCCCAGCCCCACAAATCTGCATGCTACACCACATGACCNCACGCCAGGACACTGCCCTGCCAGGCACCAATTCTATGTCCATCGTAGGCAAGATTCCCACTAGCGTTGTACACGACCCTGTAATGACTTCACATGGTCAATAACCGCCTTGGTAAGGGGCATAGGTGCATGCTCTCCCCATCCTGCAACACTCATGGCATTGTAGCTTCGGCACAATAAGCAGTAGGCTCGTGGCTTTGTAGGGTGCTGCTGAAGGGTAACACGAACTGGAGCTACATCCTTAGCCAAGTAAAAAGGGTTCGATTTTGACATTCGCAGGACAGGCACATTCATGTAATCATCAAGGAGAGGCAAGGATGGCTCATACCACTCAGAAACCTCCAGCACCACATCGTCAATTTGATCAGTACGGTAGGATGGCAGGCGCCATGCCTTTGCAACCTTTCCAACCCACCATCCAATTTCTGGCACAGCGGCACACTTCCTGCACATGAACCATGTATGCACATCATTTGGATAGGAGTTATCCTTGCTACGCCGGTACACAGCTTTGATGTCGATACAGTCATTTAAGCGTACACCTGCAAGACGCTCACTGAAGCTTGGTGGTACATCAAATTTGTATGGCTCCTTGAGTGCATCACTAGTGCGCCAGATTTCCAACGGCCACAAGTTCCTTAGTACCGAGTCCTGGATGGCCTGCAAGGTGTAATATCATTTGCCGACTTTCGGTAAATACACCATGATGCTCATTTCAACCAGACATAACTACCCATGCACAGCTCAGCCCTTCCTACCAAGGATTTGAAGTCCACTGCTTGAAAACCCTAAAACCCTGCACAGGAGAACAGAGGAGAGCAATGGGACAGCAGAGATAAGCAGGACATGGTAAGGGAGGGCTGAGAAAGCAAGGGATGGCAGAAGAGAGCAAGAGAGGGCAATATTGCCCTCCATTAATGGAGGACAGAGGAGGAAAACAGAGAGCAAGGCACAGCAGAGGAGGAAAGTGGAGAGCAAGGGGCAGCAGAGGAGGGCAGGGGAGGGCAGGGGAGGGC